GTCAAGGTCATCTCAATTGAATTCTGTAATAAAAGATATTTTCAAATTTACTATTGATTCTGACATTATTTTGAACCTGTACTATATACCGTCAAAACAAAATCTCGCTGACGCACCTTCACGTTCTTTAACAAAGTGTGACGCAACAATTACGAAAGCAATATGGCAGACTATTCAAGAGCATTTCGGAGGAAATTCTGGACATACTTTAGATCTCATGGCTCTGGACTCAAATAGCATGAAAGACAAAAAAGGAAATATTTTAAAACATTTTACACCTTTTCAATCTCCTTTGTCCTCGGGTATAAATGTTTTCACACAAGAGATTAACAAACAGGAAAACTGTTACGTGTTTCCACCTTTCAATCTCGTTCTACCAGTTATGACTTTCTTGAAAGAAAGCAGTTGTAGTTATACGATTGTGATAAGAGCGGAGAATACTACTCCTTTATGGCTGCCTAATTTTGTCAATTTTATTAGTGACGCGTTTGTTCTAGGCCTCAAAGGTCAAAAAGATGTTTTAAAGTACCCAACGAAAAAGGGCTATGTGTCTGATAGATATGGTTTACCATGGAATTTATGGGCGGTTAGGGTGCAGAACTTTATTTCCGGTTCATCTTATGGGAAAATGCTTTTTCTAAATAACCCTACGATTACATCAAATTTTCATTTTCTCTGTGTCGGTGATTCAATGATCAGATTTCTTTTATCAGATAAGAAATTTAGGAACCCTATGGTACATGTTTATTCAGAAGGTGGAGGCCTTATTCGCAATGTACAATACAATATTCAAAAGATGGTCGATAGGTATCCACCACAAACTATTTTTGTGCATGCCGGTGTGAATAATTTGAGTAAATGTTATTTGTATTTGAATGAATTTCACCAATTATCTGTAGCACATCATGAGCTTGAATCTTTAACATTGTTGTTAGAAAACATTTGTAAGCAATTTACGCATGTAAAAGTAATTTTGTCATCAATAATTATCACTAAGGACGATTATATAAATATAAGATCGGAGAGATTTAATGCAAAAATGAAACAAGCATGCAGAGAACATAAGTGGTTATTCATGGACAATGTAAATATTAACAGTTCACATTTAAGGGATAATGTGCATTTGAATGAGGATGGCCAACGTATATTGACAAACAATTTATATAGTATGTTAAAATGTGTATCCCAAGTAGGAATGTAGGGACAGTGACATGACTAGCGTTTGTTTGTTTTTCTCTACCAAAGTGTAAATATGTATGTTTAGTTAACATTTTTGTAAATTTATATAGTTGTCATTTTTTTTCTTTATTTTGTTGTAGGGTTTTAATATTGCAAATATTTTACGTCCATACATGTTATGCAAAGGATGTGCAACAGCAAACGATGTAGACTATATTTTTTGTAAAATATGTGGTTCTCCGAGAAATAAGTCATTAGAATGTTTAGACGAATGTTCGAAAGAAAGGGATCAACTGTTGCATAAAATTGAAAAACGAATTGACAAACTTGACAATTTATTAAAATCGGGGAGTTATTCAAAACAGAAATGCAGTTTAAAAACCGAATTAGAGAAATTTTTCGTTACTTTGGAACCTCTGAAAAATCTTTCCAACGCCGTTCCTGAAGATATCAGGAAATTCTTAGTGTTCAAAGAAAAAAATGGCAGAACACAACTGCACGAGGATAATTGCGTATATCGTACAGAACATGGTCTTAAAAACTGCAGTTGTCCCAAAACTCTCACGGTAAAGTCGGTAGACAGTTTGTTAGGGAAAATAAGAGCAATTTTTCGAGATATTGGAAGAGCTGGAGAATGGAACCCAATGCTTTACAGTGGCAACCCGGCTTCATCTCATATCTTGAAGCAACATATTCAAGCAGTGTCTTTGGAGCAATCTAATTCTAATATTACAAGAAAACAAGCGACTCCTTTAATGTTCGACAAGTTAGGAAAACTATGTAGATATTTATCCTACAAAGTGTCCGTGGAAAAAGACCCTATATCACAGTTCTTATTTGCGCGTGACTTGTCTTATTTTTCTCTGTTATGTCATTCAGGCAACAGGGGTGGGGATCTTGGTTTACTTAAGGCCGAAAATTTGTTTGAAATACCTGATTCAACAGGCATTTATGTATCACAACAGGCAGGGAAAACGGCCTCAATCGACAATCCAAAAAATTATATCATCTTGCCGTCGCTAGATGAAGATATTTGTCCAATTAAACTTGTAAAGGATTACAAACGTATGGCAAGTAAATTAGATGTAGATTTAAACAAGGGTTTCATTTATCGTGTTAGAGACAATAAATCAAAACAAATTAATAATCGAGCAGTATCATCATCATGTATGACAGACCGGTTAAAGACGCACTTAATGAATATTAATCTGTATCAAGGAGAAACGTCCCACAGCAGCAGACGCGGTTGCGCAATTACCTTAAGAATGTTAGGAGTCGATGATCAAGCGATCAATCAACATGTGGGTTGGAGTTCCAAGGGAATGATTGACCATTATGCACATGTTGGAAAATTAATGAGCCCCGAGGGTCCAGCTAGAACATTGTCCTCCGCTGCTAAACATTTAGGACAGGGGTCGTCTTTGTTCGATAAAGTTTCACAAAACTATGTCAGTATAAGTAATTTGAAACAGTTTAAGTTTTGAATTTGTTTTATGAAATTTTTGAAATGAAAACGTAATTATTTAAAAGCACTTTTTTCAGACGTTTTGATTAATTGTATATCAAGAAAGGGGAAAACTTAAACAATTAATTAAGGTACATTTGATTTTTTCATTACTGTTTTATGTATTTTTTATATTATAAGTATTGGATAATAAATACTGTATTAAATGAGTATAGTTTGTTTCAGTATGTTTACTATTTTACACAAAGCTGCACGGTTTTTGGTTTGTTGTTCTCCATATCTAACATATGAGAGGTACCGGGGTGAACTTGTAATATTCCACTATTACAAGTTCACCCTTGGGTGCCTCGAATATAAAGATAACGCGGTCATCTTGTGTTCTGGTCAGTTGATTGGAGTTTGCGGTGAAGGTCATAAGCAATATGGAATATGACAAAGACATGCTCTGTGTGTTAATTGTCATCAAGTGTGGTGAAGGTTGTTAGTAATACGACAAATTCAGGTTATGCTTGTTGATTGCCATTGTATTAGCAGCTATAGCAGAGTGTTAGAAATGAAAGACAGATTAAAAAAAAAAAGGAAATAATAAAAAGAAAAACAACAACATTTAGATCCACCACCATAAAAAACATAACAAGCAAGCAAAACAAACAAACAAAAAAAACAGAAAAAACACACCTCAAACAAACAAACAAACACACGCAAAGTTACATGATGCACAAACATATACATATATCTGAGGCATCATTACGATACGTCATATGAAGGAATATCCAAGGGAGAAGTGACCAGTTATTTTGGCCGGTTGTTACACAATTGTCAATAAAATCAAAATGTATGTTGGGTTAAGCTGGAGAACTGTGTTGTCCGTGAAGGGTTTATCAAACAGGTCGATTTTGTGTTTTTTAGAATCATCAAGTGTTGGGATCCATATGCACTAATTCTAGGATAGGTGGAATAGTCAGGAGCAGTATTGCTCCAAGTACTGATTTAACCTTATGCTAAATGTTAATGTCTTATATTATGTATTCATGGCGATTTAGAGCTTATTCATCTTCATAGCTAATAGCTTGCGTGTATTAATGGCAGATTTGGATAAAAAATACATGTCGTGTTGTCGTTATTATACAACATAACAAGTACAAGAAATACTATAGTGACTTATCCGACCAAAAAAAAAAAAAAAACACTACAAATTCTGCTTTTCATTGATTAAAATGTCATGGACATATATTCATTCATCCACAAAACAAAAAAAAAAGGGAAAAAAGGAAAATCCAACAAATCGCACAGATAATTTGATTGAACACCGATGTGGGGGAGTTCAAATTATATCTCTGTCGGAAGGCCGCATACCCAGCCTCTTGTACCTCTCATCTTACCGTTTTTACGGTTTGTTGTTCTCCATATCTAACATATGAGAGGTACCGGGGTGAACTTGTAATATTCCACTATATTACCTTTTCCCTTAACCTCATAATTATTTTAATCTGATTTCTGTCAAGGTTGCCTTACCGGTGTCTTCCTCGAATACCAACATTTTATATGTTACCTATTCATTAAACGCCAACAAAAATATTTCAATAAATGTTTATATAATAACACTAGGTGTTTTTATAACTATTTAAATGTTTTTATAAGTATTTAACTGTTAAAAATAATAAGTGAACTTGATAAAATTGCAACATTTTATCACTTTTTGATAAGAAAAAATAGTAGATTTTGGGGTTGAAATTATTATGAATTTTAAAGAAATAAAGAAAATTAAAACATTTTTATTACTTTTTATTAAAAAAAAAAGATATTTTGGGAATGGAAATGTTTCTTAACATAAGACATACTAGAAATATTAAAGAAATTTTAGTTAAATACAATTATTTCAAACTAAAAAAGGATATTAGAGATTTATTTAATTCCATATCATTTTAAATATGTCATGGTTGCCACTGCTACAGTCATACTGCTCATTTTTTTAACTACATTAACACATCGCTGCTGGAATATTTTTTTTTATTAATATCATTCATGTATAATATTTTGTTAAATATTGTTTTTTTTTTCTCAAATTTTATCTTTTTTTTTAATATACTTTTATAAAAAAAAATTTTCGCATACTCATATTTTTACCATTTTATGTTTATTTACATTTTTGTAATGTTATTTTTCAACTCTTTTTTTTTACTTTTTTTTAACTTTATTTGTTTTTTTTTCTTAAATTGATTATCGTTTAATTCATTTTGTTTTTTTATGTATTTACTTTATATTTACGATAAATGTTTCTTAGACTTGAACAGATATACAATGTATTTGTATTTTACTCTGTATTAATAATTTGATTAGCTGATACCTTAACGTTTCAAGAAATTGTCTTTACATAAACTGGAGGTTGGTCATCTTGGTCGTAAGAAGAGTCAACATTTTTGTTCTTACATGGCAGTTTGTCTTTGATTGAAATAAAAATTGCGTCATATGGTTCAAGTGAATGCAGAGCAGCTGGTAGAAAGTCCCATGTCCGTAGTTTTTTCGGTAGAATTCCAGGTGCCTTCCACTGGATAATGTTTATGATAATTATAAATAGTATTAGAATTATTACGGGCACTCCAATACCAAGCAAAACTCTCCAACCAGCTAAAGACAACCCAAAAACTATACCAGGAAACAGGAAATACATTGAAATAAGATAAACAAGGGCAAACCATCTGTAATTTGCAGTAACGTTACCCATATACTTAGCTGCACCGATCGGAAGTTTTCGCATTGGATATATAATGTAAAAAGCAAAGACCCCGGTCAAGTTGAAAAACAAATGACATAAAGCAATTTGTAAAGAATTGTCAAAATTACCACTTCCGGCGGAAGCAAATGCTGCTAATAAACTAGTACCAGTTGTTCCAATATTAGCACCAAGGGTCATTGGATACATTCTGTCGATATGAATTATCCCTAGTCCAACTAACGGGGTACATGCAGATGTAAAAATAGAACTGCTTTGCACCAGGAAGGTTAATCCTGCACCGATCAGTATTGCCAGAAGTCCGGTCAGAAATCCTAAACATCCTTTAGAGTTGGCATTAACGATTCTTCTAATAATCTTCGCGATTTTACCACTCAAAACAGAGTGTAAGAGTTTAACAATGAGGACTAAACAAATACACAGAACAACTAAAGACAATACCAGTAGCAGTATTCCGGTGTTAGTGTCATTCCATCCTATATCCTTTACCACTCCTGAAATATATAAAACAAGGTATTTAGCATAAATAGTACGTATGTTATGAGGTAATATCTGTGCGACTGTCTGGTATTTTCATATTTACACCCACTTAAGTATTACTATATAATGTTTGTTTAATCATAAATTTTTAAAAATATTAACATTATGCGATTTAAAATATACTGAGATGAAAAGCTTCAAAACAGTTATAAATTTCATGCGTCCGAAGCCCTTCCTGGATTGGATTTTCCTTCATCAGGAACGCTCAAAGACGAATATTTGAAAGTCAAGGATGTATAAGATCCAAAACAGTTGAAGAGCTATATGAGCAAGCTATTCGATCTTTGGTAGATATAGTCCATGCTTTCAGACAAAGGATTCATCAAAAGGATTGAAATTCTACTGTACACCAAACTTAGTCCAAAATTCTTCTACTTTCTAAAATTTTATGGCAATGAACAGAATGTTGTCATAGTATCTTTCTCAGGTAAAAACATACCTCCTTTCATCATAGTTGTTACGTTTTCATCTTTACCCTGTGCTATTTTAGCTATTACTCCCGAGTCTATCTGTAAAGAAGTAAAAAAGGTTTTGTAATAAGAATAAAAAGGTTGACTTTTTAATAGAAAATATCGCTCGGAGTCCTATGTAAGCTTGAAATGTTATCGTTCGCTTGTCTTTGTCAATTTAATGTACAATTGTAGTTAATATAAAAATAAGGAGATGTGGTATAATTGCCAAAAAGACAACCATCCATCACAGACCAAATGACATTGTCGATTTTGTTCATCCTATCTAAGGGGTTGTTATCAAGTATCGGTATCATCAGCTCAGTAGTCAGTGAGATACTTACATGATTTATGACATACTGTACCATTCTTTCTTAAATTCCCCGTTGATAAATTATTAGAAACTAAGGTTAACTACCTCTTGCAATGTTGACCTTGTGTGGGTTTGGCTGTTCTTTTTACGTTCTTTTTTGGTATAAAGCCCCTCAAGTAATTATAAATACATCCGTGTCTTTAAAATTTTAGAATTAGAGCGTCACTGATTGAGGTAATCCACGAAAACATCACAAGTTTATTTAGTTTCATTTTCATTTTTACGGTTGACATTATGTGAAAAAAACCAATAATATAATGAAAAAAAGGATATGACGAATTAATCCATTACAACCAAAATAACTAACATTCTTGACAAACGCAAAGACACAGCGAGTCGGGGTCTGAAGTTTTGATATAAGTGTGACCTTAATAATCGTTAGATAACAAAGACCAAGAACAACTATAAAATTGCTCTGCAGTTGTATTTTTTAAAGGACAGCTAATCAAAGGTTTTTTAAAGTGTTTTTAGATGTCATTACTGTAATTAAAATGGCATTAAAGGGCCCATAAATAATAATACTTACTGATACAATAAAAGACGTAAATGGTTTTGTGATCGCCTTCAAAAAATCTGGTTCATTTACGGTTCCATTACTATGCGGTAGACTGTCTATAATGGCTTGAGAAAGGCGAAATAAGTACCCAGTTGCCACTTCTATCGGAAGTAGTAGTAATACATTCAACCAATTAAACATATCGTGGACAGTTGCTGCAGCATACGATCTTCTGAAGTGGTTCCGGTCACCAGTTTGTCCCATAGCAACGATATAATTAGTGACAGTTGTTCCAATGTTTGCTCCCATTATAATTGGGATGGCTAGCTTGACCGTTATAACTGTGGATATATGTAAATGCAATGACAATGACATTGCATGACAAGAAAGAATGGCGGGGACTTTTCTGACGATTTGTTCAATGTTTTAACGTGTTATAAATTTGAGGATCAATTTCCTCAATTTACATTTTTAACTCACAGGGTCAAAATTCAAAAGTTTAAATATATATAATTGTATGTCATCTACTTAAAACCCTTTCCAACAATTTTACATATTCCCATAAAATTAAAATTTATTCAGCACCAATCTTAATGTAGAAGGCAAAGCGATATTTTGCATGTTTTTAGGAGTATGTTTGCAACAGGTTAAAATTGGCCCTCTAAACAAAATGAACTATTGTGTGTCCGAATTCAATGTATAGTTTTACTTCCAACATGATTTTGGTTTTTCTTAAGGGCTTCTTTTTTGACAAGCAGAAAAGACAAACATTTTTGTGATAAAAACTAAAAAAATTTCAAAATCTATCAAAATTGTGGTTTTAAATTGCTACATCTATCTTTAGGCGTTTATAATTTAGTTATCTGTTCATAATATTGTTAAAATCTAAAATAAAACACAAATGGAACTGAGATACTTTGAATTTTAGTAAAGATTGAAAGACTTTTTTTAAATGATCCATGACCCTCGTGTGAAATAAATGCCATCTTTATGAGGAGCATTTATTTTTTATTCTTCACATTGGTTCGGTTTTTTAAATACTGATTTTTTTATTATTGTCTTTTTCACTTTATGTTGTATCTTGTCTATTTTACTTGTGAATTTATCCTATAGTATCATTGATTTGATAAACTGTGGCATATTGAACTTATGAGATAGCTGATATTACAGTACAGTTTTGATCATGTTGCGAAATATCGTTTTGTTCGTCGAAGACATTCTTATAACATCAATTAAGACGAAGAACGGCTACATAAATGCACTTTCATTGATGTTATAAGTACATTCAAAAGTTATTGTGCAAGTTTTAGCTGTAATAATACTTGTAAACATAAATAAGTACTTACTATCCGCTGAGATCATAGACACCACGATTGTGGTGGAGGTAGATGAGCTCTGAACCAGGACTGTTGACAGGACTCCGATCATTAATCCTGCTATTGGATTGGAAGCTAAAACACTGCTACTAAGGGCCTCTCCTACAGCTTTTCCTATAAAACAAGGCTAAGTTATGGACTAAACATTAATTAATGGCATCTATGTGTTTTACAAAAACGAAAATAAAAGTTATTGTATAGTAAATTATATATATTTCTAAACTAAATGAATTTTTTTAATAATTATTATAATTATATTGAATATGAATATAGGATTGTTTGCCTTATTACTTAAATGAAAATGGATAAACAATCCAGTTTCTGGAAATGAGGAAATGACTTTTATAACATTTATAACTGTACGTTTTCTAATGTTTACCTCCTAGGAGACGAAAAGCAGAACTAAGAAAGTCCAGGGTACATACAAAGGTATAAAGCAGAGCCAGTAATCCTATTGTTTTTCCAAATGATGTGATGAACCATTTTATTCGTTCTCTGGTTGACATATCTAAAAAATACAATTAAAACAAATACAGATACTGGTATTTTTAAATAATAAAAAAACTAAGCTGAAATAAAATATATATATGTAGGACTCTGAACCGCGATGGTACTCCGAACCGCGATGGTCACGCTGAAGTGCGATGGTTGGACGCTGAAGTGTGTTTTTGATCACGCTGAAGTGAGATGGTTGCATTGTGACGTTATCTTGTTGATAGCTACGCCGAAGTGCGATGGTGGTAACGCTGAAGTGCGATGGACTAAATAAACTATATTTTCAATGCTTTTCATGTCTATGTGTTTTTTTGCTTTAGGTCGACGTTACATTGTGTTACTGTAGAAGTAGTTTTCGGGTTTTTAAGTTAATAAGTGGCTTATAAACTACAGGAAACGGACAGTGATTGGTCAAGTTAACCTTCTGTAGCGGATTATTTTTTTTATAATTACACCTTATGTAAGAATCCTGGGTTTTGATTGGTTGATAGCCAGTGTATTTTTCACCAATTTACTGTTATCAAATGAATATCGTTCATTTTTTAACGCCGCCGGGGTATATGCAAAAAGGATATGCCTTTTTTACCCTCTCTGCCGTGGTATTTGCCAAAAAATACTCTATCCGACTGGACGCTTGTAACGTCACAATCATCAATGCGTTTTTGAACGTTAACATTCGGTGTAATTAAACAGATATAGCATGTTCTTGAGGGGTATTTGCCAGTCTTGGGACCAAATTTCCCTCGCCTAGCGGCTTGGGAAATTTCACCGTCCCTTGACTGGTATTTTTCGCAAATACCCCTCCATAACATGATATATCTGTTCAGAAATCTACAAAAGGTTCTAGTTTACGTACGATGGATCGTGGCATTATTATCTAAATACATACGGGTTCGTAAACAGACTCTCTGTATTATAATATTACTGTCAAAGATGAGCTCATGAGAAGAACCAGGTAAAAATAAAATGTTAAAGCAGAATTATGTTCACATGCAGAAAATCAAAGAGGGCGATCTCTTATTTAATATGCAACTGTAACTAAGGACATACATAGACAATAATGAATAATTTATATACAAACTATAAAACAATTAAATAATTGCACATCTGTAGATTTTAAACAAGCCACCACGCGTCATATAGACCATCGCACTTCGGCGCAGACCATCGCACTTCAGCGTGACCATCGCACTTCAGCGTCCCCATCGCACCTCCGAGTCCTATATATATATATATATATATATATATATATATAAACAAGTCTAAATTGAAAACAACGTTCAAACCTATGATTGCGTTGGATAAAAACCGCAATTTTTATACGTGTGCATACAAAACAAATTTCTTGGTAGAGGGGTCTAAATACAGCACAAACAACATTTTCCAAAAGACCAAAAAAGTGAAAAAGTATATTTTAACAAAACGCATTTGACTACTAGGTTGAACAACGGATGATCTTAAACCCTCCTGACTGCCATGGCGAGTGCTAAATATACGGATCACCAGATGTAACAAAATGGATCTTAATCATTAATTTAATACCAAACAGAAAACAATAAACTTGCGGAAAAGATGGTATACCGCAAACATGAGGTGCAAAAATTTGTACACCATATCCGGATTTCGACAATTAATGTCTCTTCAGTAATGTTAGGAATCGAAACGGTATTTGGAAGACCATATTTACCTCAATTTAGGATTGACTCTTGAATTTTGAAGAGTCGAAATAGGATGAACGGATTATATAAACCCGAAGGCAAATATAAAACAAGCCCAAACGAAAAATATATAAACAAGTATATATATTATAAACCCTTTATCAGATGCAACAACAACTCTACGAAAAATCTGAATGTCAAACAGTATATTTCTGATTCAACTTTGGTCATGGGACATTATTATTATCCTAGCTGAAAGTAATTTGATGTTTGCTGAACATACAGATTTGCTTTAGAAATGTAAAAATGAAAACTATTATTTTAGAATATTACAAACATTTTCATTATTTCATAAGCAAACAGAATTGAGTGGATTTTAGTTTTAACATATTTGTTTTGCAAAAACCATAACAAAACGGATGAAACTGTGAACGTTTTCTCCTTTAACACTGTATATCATGATATATATTATAAGGCCGTATTATATGATATGAATGTAAATGAATGAATACGAATAACAGTAAACAAAAGAAATAAATACCTTTCCATTTTTCATTGTTATCAGGCAGATCCGGTAATTTGTAAGGATCATCATCCTCTGCCTTTGTAATGTCATCCTTTGTTGGTATTTCATTTGTTACAGGAATCTCCAGTTCTAATGCATTCTTTAAAATATCAACTTGTAAGGGTTTTGTACCATTTTTTATCTACAAATGATATCTAAATCAAAAACGACCTTAATTGATAGCTAATATCAAAATTCTATCAATCAGTTGATATAAATAGATAATCATTAAGTACAGTTCTTTTCAAAATAAACAAACAAAAAAGATGACTGGTAAACATTCAACGACTGAAAGAATCATCACATAAATTTTGTATTACAGGAAAAAAATAAGATAGAATATAAAGTATGTCTTGTGTGAATACAAAAAGTATTAATTTGAAATGAATCACTTATCAATCACTTAAAAGAGAATATTATAGGTTCCAGGAACCCATGCAATCTAGATATCCATACCTTTTCAGAGACTGGAGGCAAGCTGTATGTTTCTGAAGATGACATGATTGAAAAAGTAATGTTTATTTCATGATAGTTCTGCTTTTTATACGATCATTTTCTTCACTTGTGATGATTTTGAATTTTATGATAAGTAAAACAAAGACTTATAAAATACTTTATGGTTATACTTCAGTATTGTCCTGCTTAAAATAATGTAAGTCTGATGAACCCTACTTGACCCCTTTATTTACCAATATCATAAATTGAGAAATTTGCACCGAAATAAATGGCTTAATAAATTGGTATGTCAGTAGTATATCAATATAGAATGAACTGTTACAACACAACAAAAGTAAAATCTCATGATATGAAATTAATAACAATAACACAAAAGTCGTGGCTTCTACATCGTATAAAATATTACACAAGTACACATCGTCGTGAATGTGCATAAAACATAAGCTACTGGACACTTGGCAAACAATTTTCTATCAATCATATATTAGCATATTTTTATTATTGCTATTATTATTATCATTATTATCATTATCTTTCATCGTAGAAGCAAGTTAGATGTCTATGATGACGTACATGTCAATGTACAATAACGGAACAGGTATTTGTTAAATAGTAAAGGGAAACATTATCTAGTGCTTTATGTTCACGAAATAAAATAAAATGACAGAAAATACTTTATGTAAATTCGGATTAAAAGTGTTCAATGATTAATATCAATGCAAAATAAAATCAGAGAACAACCCTTACCATGCTTACGTTCGACAAATACTCTATAAAAATTAGATAGAAAATTATAAAGAAAATTCTGTAGATTTTGCTTTGTTCGTGACAACCAATGACAATAAAACCATATATTAAGTACATTTCTACATGTATGGAGTATACGATACTTCATGATAAAGAAGAAGATATAATAAAGTCCTTTACAAGTACTTTGAATTCGATAATTAATATTAATAATTTGAACATCGGCAAACTACTGTTGCCTCAAAATTCTTTGATAAAGAGGTACCCTAATAGAGAATGGAAACGGGAAATGTGTCAAAGAGACAACCCGACCAAAGTACCGAAAAAAGCCCATGGCCACCAATGGGTCTTCGATACTCTTTTTATTTAACCTGCGTCCTCAAATGACATTAATTTGTCCAATATTGTAACTATTTATGATTCATCTATTTGAAATGGCTAAGCAGAAGAACAATTAGATGAATTTCTTTTTATGAAAACATATGCTTCTTTAGGGATTGTAAGGATATATATGTATCTATATATTATATAGGTCAATTGTAAGTATCATTGAAGAACATAGATGATCTGGTTTTCAGGACAGCCAAGTTAAAATCGTGTCACCGAGTTGTTCCTTAAAAAATGACTCAATTTCTACATAATGGTCCTTATTTAGAAATAACTTTGAAATGTCGGTCACCGTCCTTGAAGCAGAAATATATCATATACTAGTATGGCATATTTATCCCTGACCTATTTCATAAACAACCGAGAAAAGGGACAATAAATGTACTTCCTTATACATGAATATGTTGTCGCATTTTAGGGTCTTTAAATACAAAAATCAACATATAAGAGAATGATAGTCATAGATGCTTACATCCATTGGTGGATAGTTGTCTCATTGTTATTCATACCACATCTCCTTATTTTAATAATGTCATATAAAATATCAACATATAGAAATGAACAAATTAGCTTGAATTTGTTCAACCGGCATATGTCACTATCCAGAAGTATTTGAATCTTACTAAAATAAACAGTATCAAAGCTTCGTGTATTTAATACAAAGTTCTAGCAACTTTGCGAATTCCTTAACATTTAATTCTACCCTATTTGTTCCTTTATTCGTATGAGGGAGACTTCTTTAAGGGGAGAATAGTCAATCCAATTCAATTCAAATCTGTAATGCCACTACACCATATATTTATAGTGACACAGCATAACAAAATAAAAATAAACAATATCAACAAGATCATTAATATACATAATAAAAGTAAATATTTCAAGAGTCCCCTGTCTTCAGTTCTATAGACTGTTTTAAATAGGATCCGAGCTTATTTACCTGAATGTGTGATCTTTGGTTGAGTATATATGTAATTTTATCTTTAGCATTTAAATATGTAAAGTGCATATTTTCATTTATTAAAAAATCAAAATAAACTTTTGTAATTATTAATGTTACTATCACAATATGAAAAGAAATGAATTTCATCTTTATTTTTTTGCAGTTTTTGCATACTCTTTCTTCTCTTGGCATTTTAAGATATCTTTCCTTTTCTATTAATAAAATGTGGTCACTCGTTTTAAATTTTGTTGTCAGTTTTCTACATTCAAATTTTGAGCAAGTTAAATATTTTTTTCTGTATTATTTGATTTTTACATGTTTATAAATAGTGAGTTTGCTATTACCCTTTATATCGGATATTTTATCATTTACTAGCTTTTTTGTAAAAATGCTTCAATATTAATTTTATTTGTTCTCTTATAGTTTTAGTTATCTTATGTAAGGAATATTTCTTCAAAGTGTCCAAATCCATACCTGTTTCTTCTAATACATATTTTACATATGAATAACAAGAATAAATTCCTAAACAGTCCAAGTTTTGAGACAAAACAAAGGATTCTTTCACAAGAGGATGTCATCAGAATATAATCTGATAAGATACAATATAGATTGAAATTTAGTATTTAGTTCTAGAGAAAGTCGCCCCAGATCAGCTCTTGCACCTAAATTTGATGAAGTTTTTCTAATACCTAGTGTATAATTACAAAACTGTAGGTTTAACTTTTCTAAAGGTGTTTCATCAATGAAATTAAAAGGATCCAATTGTTTTCCTGAATTATTTGCTTTTTTTTTTGGCTCTAAAATATGTTATATAGGAATCCAAAAATGTTACTTCTGAATTATATAAAGCTATATGTTTAACTAATGAATCTAAGAGATTATTTGCGACTTTAACTGGTATATTATTTAATGAACTAGTATATGACTTCATAGCAAAGAGAACATTTTTAGAAAAATTTCCATTATTTTTAATCAACATTCCTAAAAATTTATACTCATTTGTGTCTGATATTGGAATATCTTTGTATGTTACAAATGAGTGAGCTGTTTTGGAACCGTTTTGCTTTGTAATCATAGTTTTAGTTTTATTTACATGTACACTTAATTGCCAATTATCACAAAAGAACACTTAAATTGTTTAAACTATTTTCTCTGCATTTTGCAATCCTTCCTTGTTAAGGAAATATAAATAGTCAAACACTGTCACAGTTTGTGCAGAATTACAAATGTATATCACTCCCGAATAAATTATGTTTTTCTTGAACTTTACTATAGTTGCTATATAGAATAAAATGATGTGTAGATAAATACGTCATTGGACATCCACTCAATACAAAAATAAATCCAAAAAATACATCTATATTTTATATTTTAGCTACCTTTCAGCTGAGAAAAGGATCGGCTTAATCATTTTTTAATTAAATAGACCAACCCTCTGTTTAACAAAGGCTTGTTTTCAAAACACGTTTTAGTTGCCTAAAAAATTGCCTACTGGATACTTCGAAATCAGAATGTCATAAAATCATGTAGCAACAACACAGTGTATCCTGAAAAAGAACTTGGTTAATAAAACGTCTACTCACATAAACGAGTTTTCTTAAAGAAATGTCGACCAGCTGCTTCAACTATCCACTTTTGACCGTGACATTTAAAAAAAAGGTTATAAAACTAAAAACAAATATTTATGTGTAATGTTGGAATTTGTTCTTTGTGATACAAAATCCCATTAAATGTGTGGGGTAAGAGTATTTGTTCCATATTCAATTTTAGTGGAGATGAGATGAAGAATGTCCATGTTAGCGCGGTCCCATTGCTTTTTGCTATTTAATGTGCGGGTAGTGATATTGTGTCATTAATTGAAACATGATATCCTTTTTTCCATTTAAGCTAAAGAATATATTCCTATTACATTAGGGAGATAAAATGTTTAATTTTCTACATTACAGTGACTAATGAATCTCAAAATAAAACATATAGTACACTCATGCTTATATACAAAGTGATAATCATACACACATGATCAAATAACTACATGCAAAGATATATGACTGCAATATATACTTCTGTACAGTGGTATAAAATCAATGTCTTTAAATTTTAAATTATTTGAAGGGAAAAATTAATTTACGAGATTTGTTATAGGAAGTGTACAACTTTCACATCTCACTTGAATGCTTAAGTTTGGTAACACTATTTCAAATTTCAAAGCATAACATGTATGTGAATCAACTAGAGTCTATAAATTCATAAAAGAGAGAATAAATGAGGAAGAAAGTAAACAAATCTAATTCTAAAAACCAACACACATTGGAAAACTATGGCAGTCACGATCGATATTTGCACATTTGCTCTATTTGTGACACAACCAATGCGACTAACTATTTCTCTATAACGTTGTTAAATATCATGTGATTGCGTAAATTTGTATTGTTTTGTTTTTTTGCGGATTGATATATTTGGATTAAAAGTGTTCAACGATTCATATAATGCAAAACAAATCAAAGAATAAGTCTAAAGTTATAAAATAAATTAGATGGAAAAACTAAAACTAACTTATTACCATAAAACCAATATTTTTAGTACATTTCTATGTGTTATACCTATACGATACTTCCATAATAAAGTAAAAGATATGATAAAGCCCTCAATAAGCACAGTACAACTTTCGACAATTAAAAATTATATCTTTATGCATTTAACAAAAAAAAATTGAGATTTGAAATCGGTAAACTACAGTAACTGTTGTCTCTAATTTGTAGGATAAAAGAGCCAACCTTCTGTCTTTTTTAAATTTCAAGGTTGTTTCCTCATATAACATTAATTTGATCAATATTGTAAATGTTTATGTCATAGATAAAACTGTAGGGAGTTCTTTCTTTTGGGCAATCTTGACACTTCAATGTGTATTATACGACAAGAAAACCCTTAAAATATGCATCATCTAAATAATATATACCGTCAAAAAATGATA